ATCTTCACGGGTCGCTGTGTGAAGGAGACTCTATATCATATTAGTAATACGACATTCTAGACATCAACAGGACAACAGCTGTCTCTTGACCTGCAATGACTGTATGTCAGAGCACAGCAAGAACCTGACAGCGACCAGAGTCCGTACTGTCTAACCCTGGAGAGAACCGCGAAGCATGGCAGCACCAATCCTGTGTCATTCTGGCGTAGGTGTTTGTTATGGAATCGGCTTCCTGCATGTCACTTGACGTGATGATGGGATATTCATTGTTCTGCCTAGTGTTTTCTAAATGCTGTAATTTATTCCAGTTTTGGTCTCTAAGACATGTTTTATGCAACACCTGGTCTCCACGGTATCCGCTGTACAGATGATAATCTCTAATGTATGTTTTATTCAACATTTAGTCTGTGCTGTATGTTTTATTCCACTACTAATGTCAGTGTTAAGTTTTATTCCGCAATCCCTGGATATGTTTCATTCATCATTTGGCATATATATTATGTATTATTCAACATTTGGTGTATATATTATGTTTTATTCAACATTTGGGGTACATGATATGTTTTATTCAACATTTGGTCTATATGGTATGTTTTATTCCTATTCTGATCTCTAAGGTATATCTTCATACAAAATCTGGCCTCTAAGCATGTTATATTCCCATTTAGTCTCTATGGTTTAGTCAAATCCGATTTGATCCCTTTACGTTTAATTACACACATGCTGTCTACGGTATGTTTTATCCCTCTCGGGTTACAGCAGATGTTTTAATTCCACTCCTAGTCTCTAAAGCATCTTCTTTTCGAGTCCAGGTCTATATGTAAGTTATGTGTATGCCATTCTTTCTCTCAGTTTTATGTTCATTCAACTGGGTCGGTGGGGTAGCCTAGTGGTTAAAGCCGAAGGCCTGGGTTCAATCTTCACATGGGTACAATGTGTGAAGCCCATTTCTGGTGTGACCCGCCATGATAATGCTGGAATATTGCTAAAAGCAGCGTAAAACTAAACTCACTCACTCACTCATCCATTCAACTGTTTGGCCCTATCTCGCTCTTTGTATGGTTTCCGCATATGTTTGGATAACTAAACTATCATATATTACTACTCATATCCCGGACGTGTTTTATTCTGAGTTACGTTTCGAGCGTTGTGTTACTAGTGAGTGAGTGAGCAATATTCCAGCTATACGGCGACGGTCTGTAAATAATTCATTGAGTCTGGACCAGACAATCCAGTGATCAACAGCATGATCATCGATCTGCGCAATTGGGAACCGATGACATGTGTCAACGAAGTCAGCGAGCCTGACCACCCGATCCCGTTAGTCGCCTCTTACGACAAGCATAGTCGCCTTTTGTGGCAGGCATTGGTGGCTGAAGACCTATTCTACCCCGGATCTTCACGGGTCGTCGTGTTACTAAGATTGTTGTGTTCGTACAATATATGAATAAAGTTCCGGTTGGTCGTCCGAATTAATTCCACATTTCGTTCCTACTTTAAATGTTTTTCAACTCGTGGTCTCAGGGTATGTCATGTCATGCGTGTTGTTGAAAATAACGTTCATTCGCCTGTACGTCTGTGAGGTATATTTTATTCAACGATAAACGTCGAAGTCAGCCTCTAGGATGCTTCCGAGTACGTCATGGGATTTGTATTCCACAGATTCCTGTCGGGGCTCCGTACACTCCTATCTGAAAAGGAAATGTTTGACATGCGCCATTATGACATACGCGCTTACAATGATCTAAAATAAAGAAACGTGTGATGTTGAAATAACTTTAAAGTGTCAAAGTCTGCACATGCCAAATGTGATGTTTAAACATCTTTGAAGCGGCACATAAGTCTATACATGTCAACTCACCAGATATTGCTGGATCTAACAAAGCTAATAATGCTCTATGCTGTCGACCCACCACGCGTGTGAGTGAATGAGTTTAGTTTTACGCCGCACTGAGCAATATTCCAGGTTTTGGGCGGCGGTCTGTAAATAATTGAGTCGGAAATTAATTTAGAAAATACTTGAGCAAAATCATCATGCTAAATGACCCGAAAGCTCTGTTTTACTTCATGGGGAAAATATGTATGTGTTGACAACATTCGAAAACATATGGCGTTAAAAATATATCGGTGCTTTACTATTTTCAAACCATTTGTTGAAGATGCAGGGTGGAGTTTGTTTAAAAAAAAAAATTAAAAAAAATTCCATTTATCATGTAGGATTATTTGAAAAATCCATTACAGCCGGTTAGCGTTGATTATTAAGCGGACCGAAGATATCTAGAGTTCTTCCCGAAACTTGAACTGAGCCGGAAGGCAATGCCATTTCATGATAAGTATTGCTTGATTCAAACGTAAACGGGTAATTGTATATTTACAGCCATGTAAAACAGTTGCTTATTGTGTTTGGAAGAATAATACTGACGCCTTCGACGTCGCCTGAACGTCTGCGACGGGAAAACGCATTCACTGCTTAGCACAGGAGGATTCTCAGAATGTCCTGTAGAACGTATGATAACTTTCTCGGGGCTTCAGTCCCTGGTATATTGAATACAGATGGAACTGGCATCCCAGGAGACGCCAGTGGGAATTACAGTGTTCAACATCCGGAATCGTCAGCCTCGGCAGTTTGATGTCGCTATCTAAAATGGTAGATGTTATAAAATCGATATTTATTAAACACGATATGGCCCATATTATGTCTATGTTGTTATCTTGGTCAACAGAAAACCGATGGTTTGGATGGACGAATGATATATCTTAATGAAGGTTGTCTAATTGACTCAAACGTCAACCATGTGTATGGCAAGATTGTATACGGTGTGATAAAATACCCTCTGACCTATTTCAGGGAATATTCAGAGATTTTAACAATCCTGTACTGAAGACGTTTGGCATTTTCAATCATGTACATGGTTGATTTTGAAGTTCTGTAGTAATGGAAAGTTCCAACAAGTTTGTTGGCAATCAATCTAACGTGATCTGATGGATGGATGGGTCTACCGTAGCTTAGCACATTTCAATCAGGGGCCAAGGTCACCAGAGGCCATGTTATCAACAAGGTGGGAATATCCATTACAGTTCGCTTGGTTACAGGGCAATGTTTAATCATCGACCATAAATTATTAACCTCTCCATCAATTCTTGACAGATAATTCATTTTTGTCCAATGTCAAGGTCGCCGTCAAGATTATATTCTTCACAAGTCGGACACATGATCACTTGGAAACGAGTGTAACCAGGACAATGTCATATCCCACCGAGACCAAATAGTGTTTGCTTTTTATCATTTGGAAGGGTTTTTTTTAAATCTGTATGTGGTGCTATTTCTATCACGTAAAGTATCTGCCACACGTATCTGCCGTATACGGCCTTCGAAATGATTACATCAGTATTCATACCTCATACATGGCCCTTTAAGATTAAACGAAGAGGGGGAATGTTAATGATTTTGATATAGATCTGATTGAAATAAAAAAAGTAATCTGAACAAACACAGAGTCAAAAACACGAAATGAGTACAAGGGTTTGATGTCATAAACGGCCACTTAATATCTTCGGCTGAATAAAAAGACTTGACTTGACTGTGTGTCGGGATGTGAATGTGTTAGATGGTGGTGTAGGGGGGGATACCGGTTTGGGGAGGGTGGATGGGTAGGGTACATGCCAAATGAAGAAATTTGTTCGACCCCTTCCTCCTAACCTGCTGGTACCTGTATTTCCTGTCAATTAATATTAAGCGTTTCTTCTGTTAATTGTTATTACCCGGGGGGTTTTGTATTTGGTATTATCCGTGTTTCCTATTACTTGGTGTTTCTCATTTTTACTTTTACTTGGTGTTTCCTTGTTTCTAGTCATTTGGTGTTTCCATCCTCTTTCCTGTTACTTGGTGTTATCCTCAGACTTGTTACCTGGTATTTTCCTTTTCCTATTACTCGCGTTATTCGTGTTACACCGCGTAATTTGTGTTCCTGTTACTCGCGTTGCTATACTTCGTCTGTATTTTGCCAGACGTAGATATATTTAATGGTAAACAAGATCCGCTCGTGATTGATAATGATAATGACACCAGGTGTTCACAAAACTATTCATCAAAGCCTTCTGTTTAAATATAAACCTTCGCACGCAGAGTTCAATGACCCTTTTAAACGGACCCTTAAAAATCCATCGACTGTACAGGAAATAGTTCTCTTTCAAGTAATTGCAGATGGAGACATTCTCAAAGTGTGACAAACCTCTAACGCAAATTGCAAGTTGTATCCTTGGGCTGTCTTTGATTCTAAAAAAAAGTCCATAACTTATCCGAAACGCAATTGAAACTCCCAGGGCATTCAAGGAGTAGATGACTACTCTTCGAATGCCCAGAAGTTGAAAAACACTCCTTATCTTCTCACGAAAGACAGGCGAAGAAAATGAATCTGACGCCCAAACATCTCAAGGAAACTCTTGTGGGAATACAGTGATGGACGAATTATCGCCATTTTCATTGCAATCATATTTCGCAACGATAAAGAATCTCCACTCTGGATATCGAAGTACAGGTCCAACACCATTCTTGTCATAGTTGTCGTGTCTAATCAAAATCTACGGTTTCTACAGATTTCATTTAGCATCGTAATGACATATCATTGAATTAAGTGTCACATGTGTTCATGTCTGTAACAACAGAACCTTTTCATGTTCAGGAATTATTTGATTAATGTGGAAAAAACAGCAACAAAGATACGCTAGCAGATGATGGCTTTGTTTGTTCAACGAATGTTGGTTACCGAAACAGGTTCGAATTGATTATTAGTTTATCGTTGGTCCAATGAGTTTTGTATTCAATATTATAGCACAACGTCACATCCCCGGTAACCTCGCCTAATCTCACCCACCCACAAACACAGAAATACCACTCCCGGTTTCCTCAAACGTCCCTAATAGCCATTTTACGACATTCAAAAACGCATCTCACTTCCGTTTTAGCTATCTTATCCACACATCGTTCTTACCTGTTACAGGTGAGCTGCACGTGCCGCTAGAGGTGTGTGGAGCTGTGGTGAAGCGCGAGCTGGACTTCTGGCAGGTGAATGAATATGAGATCCGGGCCTGTTGCTGGCGCCATTACCGCTCCTACATAGAGAACCAGAGAATACTCGACTCCTTCAACCACTCCCTCAGGAAGGAACAGGTGAATGTGGACCTGAAGGCTCTCACCGGCTGGACGTATTGGCAGACCAAGATATGGCTCATCCTAGATCATCCCAGGACGTCCAGGGCAGCTATGGTAAGAAGGCGGTTAACTTAGATACAGTGATATGCCGTGTGATGAGCTTCATGTAGGAAATATGGCGGTAATTCGCTGCGAGGAGCTTATGGTTACTAATATTTGACATTCAGTGTTATGATCTGCGTGTGGTACTGGGAGATATTAAAATGTGTTGTCAGGAGCTTAGTTACGATGACGTGCAGTCTTATGAGCTGCGTGATAGTGGAAGTTACGATGACATGCGATATTTCGAACTTGAAGTCATATCGTTAATGCACGATCAGGAATGTTTTCAAATGTGCTGAGTCAGCTCTACAAGAAATAAATGTTAGGCGAAGACATTAAAGTTTACCCCTACCGTGTTGCAAAATGACATGTTATACTCACAATGTTTTCAATGAGGTCTCTCTGTACAATGTGACCTGGTTAATTTACACCCTGCCAAAACAAACGATCGTTTTGAATTGCGAAGTGCAATTAAAGGCGCACTATTCTAACATCTTTCATTGTTGGAACTCTGATCCTGAATTTCTAGGGATTCAATGAGTGATGCTTTGAAAGATGTTTCCTAATATGGTTACCAAATGGCAACTGAGCTCATGAACTTGAAGACGTTTCAGATGAAGTCGCAACTTTTAACCTCACTGAATTAAATGGAACTAGGGTGTTTGTTCTCCGTTGTATTCTGTCGACACAGCTTCTGTGACAGCGAACTGGCAGCGCATCACGGAAGAAATACCATCGAGAAAGTGACTGCACGAGACATGATGTCTTTGATGTCGTACCGACGAGGCGTCCACCTCACACCTCCTCTGCAAGGGCAGGTCGTTCAATATTTGATGAAGAAACTGCAACTGAACAATTAGCCCCATGCTGCAAGGCTGTTCTCTGTACACAAATCTATACGAAAGCTGAACTCTCATAGGGCACAGCCAATCACCATGGCCTGTCCATCAATCTGGTACCTTTGCCCCTCTACACCAGCACTCTGTTGTTAACATTGTTCCAGTATGACCCGCATACCAATCCAAAGATCTGAACCCGAGATTCTTCAAATCAATTTGTGATCAGCGATCAAAGAATATTAAAAACATGTTGTAAATGACTAAGTCCAAAGTTAGGCCAAGCGTTTAATGCTTAAACGGTCGAGCGATATCTGATACCGTGGCGTTTTCTTCTCAATAAAGGAACAAGTCGTTAATCGATGTAACCAGACAATGATGAGTGCAAGAAGGTCAACTGCAATACCATTACTGAGAGGTAGGATAATTTTCCACTCGTAATGAGCGAACACACGTTAAACTCTTATCAGATTACTGGCTGGGAAAGATCTGACTTAACCATATTCAGTGCAGTGGAACCCTATTTACCCAACAGGTAGAGTATTCGAACAGTTTTGTGGCGAATATTTAATAACTGTAGCTGACAATGTCTCATGTTATAGCTATAATTGGAATCTTTTGGGCCTCAATCATTATGGTAAAAGGCTTAACGCTGGAAGATTTCAGAGTTAAGGGGAATTCTGACCCAATAAGACCTTATACTATTATATTATTTAGATCGTATAGACCTTGTGTTGCTCACTGACGTTGAATGAAGATATAGTCAATATCCCATTGCCTAATGCTCGAAAGCCAATCGTGTTTTTTGCCGCTTTACTGATGTGGTTAGATTGAAACAAGAAAAAAAATGCTCTGAATCAACAATTATAATTCCGTGCAATTTTCCGAAAGTGATTACTGAAAATTGGTTGATGTTCGTTTTTGGCACTGAAGTTTGGCATTGATGGAGCGCTGCTCGTTGTCTATCCCTCTACAGTGGGCTTTTTTCACAGAAGACCAAGATGGACAACCGTCTGACAATTATTCAGATAAGTTCTCGTTGCATCTCGGGGGGTTATGTGATCTTGAATGGTGGCTAGGGAAGGGAGAGAGAGGGGATGGAGAGGCGGAAAGATGTCACTCAGAAGTGTTCGTCTGGAGGTGAGGTCCAACACCACGGGAGCACGTTGAATAATTTATGAACACACACTCTGTTATCTATACGTTTTACCTTTAAGGACAAATCCACATCATAAGCTTAGAACCACACTCTTCATGCCGGTTACAGCTTAAAGCAGGCATTTGAGCTCTGTGGCTCATTCGCGGATCTGCTAGCATTGAGTTCTAATCCCCAAATCTCCTTCCTGTGTTTCATTAAAGTGGTATTGGCCTACCATCAGAGTCACTGAAGGCTTCCATTCAAAAGCATATTATGGTGCCGATAAACCAAACATCATAAGCAGGGCAAATTTGGGATTCGAACCACGATCATGTTCTCCTGTTGTACAAGATGCATCAAATGACAACTCTACCATATCATATATTTTAATATACACTTAAAGATCCGGGTGAGAACTGGTCCTCAGCTATCCATGTGACTCACAGGATAAGGTGGTCAGGGTCGCTTAACTGGCTGATGCATGTCATCGTATTCCAAATGCGTAAATGCTCATGATATCAATCACTATGTTGATATAAAGGATTAGTGAATGCTCTGATTGCTTCCAAGAATAGGCTTAGGATGTTTGTCAAGGATGCATTTCCATCTGTACAACTGACTGTCTCTGTTGAAAGGTGTATTAACCTGGTTGTACTTAGGTTAACATACGAACAAGTCAAGATGTCTAATACCTCGGTCTTCGTGTTCTTTGCATTCTGCTGCAATCTTCTCTGCATCCCCTTGCAACGAAGGCACAGCTGCCCCGTGAGATGGATCAAATTCCCAATAACATGGGTGTCTTAATGGACGTGTAGATATTGAGTATCTCGTTTGGGCATTGGACATGACTTCATACAGGTTGTCTGGGTATTTTTGAACAATTTCTGAGGTTTGAATATAGGCTTTTAATCTGCACGTCTCGGAACCACTGATGGGAGTATTGAATTGGACGGATTTAGCCGAGCCATGCCCGGTTGTTCGTTGAGCCAGTTTAACCGATGGCTACAATCTATCCTGCCTCGCCTCCAAACTGCATCAATTCCCAGCTAGCAAATCGTAATTCGTTACATTCCTCTCATACAAACGGCCAGATATCGATCTCTTGTCGTCCAAAACACCAACTTTCTGGAAAAAAGAAAGATTGACGATATTATAAATAGGACGAGACAATACAAATAAGGGAGCATCATTAGAGAACGTCACACACAGGAGATTAAATTGTAATATGTAGCTGGGTGAATCACCACATAACCTTACACGCTCGACACCTTCTTCATCTTGTGTCCATGCACTCCACACACAACGAACAAAAGCTGATGTGAAGTGACTGATGGTATTAATTAGTGTATAATGCGATTTAATTTTTTAAAATCCTTGGATCCATCACATAGTGTGAAATAGGGTAAGAGGTATTTTTTTAAATCTCAAGTCATCCATTTGTTGATATCCAGAATGGTTTGAAACTCAGGTGAACAGTGTTGATTTGATTAATAGGAGCAGTGGTATTGGGCTGCTTTCGTTTCGTTTTTTGGGTTTTTTTTCACAATGTTGGTCAGTGGGACAGGTTCCTTGATTTTAACAGAGGAGGAAGGCATTACTTCTTGCTTTGTCGGTGTTGTGTGAGGTATCACTTAGGACCATGCAGTAGTTAAAGGCACCTTTACCTTTCGTGATTACTTCTACTAAAACAAGTGTGCAAGACAAATGTGAGTGTGGCTGTTTGAGGCGGTGTGTTCCGGTAGCTGAAAGGTAACGATGGTTATTGTGACATTGGACACATACATGTGCTTTTATAGGTGAATGTTCTTAGGTGACATTTTTCAATCGGGTATTATGTGATATTCCATAATTTTTACAGTAATACTGTATGGGTCTGAGGTGACTTTCGATGTTGTTGTACAGTCGGGTCTGAGGTGACATTTCGTTTTGCGGGTTTAATTTGACAGTTTGTGTTGTACAGACAGATCAACTTAGGCATTCCAAGTTGGAATGCAGATCTAAGGTGACACCCCGCGTTGTACATACGGGTCTTAGTAGACATTGACAGTTGTACAAACGGACAAAGGTGACATGAGAGTTGCACAGGCGACACTTAGGTGAAACTCCGGGTTGCACAGGCGACACTTACTCCGGGTTGCACAGGCGACACTTAGGTGAAACTCCAGGTTGCACAGACGAGTCTGTGCTGACATGCACTGATGTTCAGATGGATCTAAGCTTGCAGTCAGATTTGTACAGATGGGTCAAAGGTGACATTCTGAACTCTACAGGCGGATCTGAGGTGAAACGTCGTCTTGTACAGGCGGTTTTAAGTTGCCATTCAGAGCTGTACAGGCGGATCTAACCTGGGATTATCAGTCCATGTTTTATGTGTCTATATGGGCATTCGAAGTTCTACATGATGGTCTAATTTGACATGCCATGTTTTTTCTTGCAGGTCTAATTTGACATGCACTGTTGTCGGACGTCCTATCATTTAGAGATGCATACCTCTATATCCAGTCTTGCACCTCCACATCCGACCAGATGGTTTTGGTTATAGATGCCCGTCACAGACCTCCGCTGCCTAGTGTCACAATCACGTGCGCTATATTATCAATGATATGTTATAGGTTCCCCTTAATGTCCCATGCCACCAAGCCATGTCAACTGGGAAGGTTTCAAATCTCGCGAGATCCTTCAATTAGAAGGACCTGAACGTGCAAATCCTGGCACTGTGACGTCATATATTGTAGCCATCATTGGACGAGCACCGGTCTGATGCAATACTGCAATCTCTCCGCAGGTCTGAGGCGTTATTTGATTGCTTCAGCTCGTAATTGATCGTGGTTTTATTACTCCACCTCTCACAACCCTCCTCCCAACATTATTTCTTTCCCCGACCGGTCTCGTCCCTCGATTAGTCTACATCAATACCAGCTTCCTTCATTGTTTCCCAGCATCGCTGGCTGAAAATGGGGGAGAGAGGGGGACGCTCGCATCAGTCCTCACTTGACTTGAACGGCGTCTTGGAATGAAACACTATCCACTTTATTGAC